ATTGCTTTAAAATGTACAGTTAATCTATTTTAACTAAATTACAACTTCTTTAGTACAAATGTGTGTTTAAAAATACACTGAAGTACATGACATCTTTAAATATTAACATTTTAGTTTACCATAAATGCTTGTCAAAAGATGTGCTTAAGTCCTACTTAAGTGGGTCATTTATTTGCAATTAAGTGTCTAAAACATTACATTCAGTTCATACTTAAGTATATTCTTTTAAACTATATTACTTTTATATTATGTTAAAGTAAACTTTTTTGTTGTTTATATTAAAATCTATTTCAAATCTGTGCACAGTTTGAGACATTCACAGTGAAAAATCTGAGAAGCAGGAGACTTAAGCAAAAGGTTGGAGACAATAATTGTTTCTTTACAGTGGGAAATGTTTTTAGCTACCTGGGCTGTTGCATTAAGCACCAAACTCTCGAGCCTCCATTGCTCCAAAGCCTGATCCTTCTTCTGAATGATCTCATTCAGCAGTTGGGCGTAGAGTTGGGTGATGCGGGTGTTCATGTTGACGCTCTCCCTGCGCAGAACTCTCATCTCATTGGCCAGTGCGCTCTCCTGCTTCGGCTGCCCACGCATTGTGTCCAGCTGTTCCTGCTGCCGGTCCAGCAGCACGCGCAGGGATGCCATCTCAGAGCAGTTGACACAAGCCGTCTCTGTGCTCACGCAAAGCGCCCCAGTTAACTTCTGTTGAGGTACGATGAAAGTGTAGCTTGAGACGGCCTTTTCTGACCTGCATCACCCTTGGAAGTGTCTGCGTTAGAGGCTTCCTTGCGGCCGTACACACAGCAAACCCCACCAAAAACCAGCAACAAGACCATGACACAAGTCACTGGAATTTCCATAAGCATCTGATTGAACCAATAAACTGTCCAATAAGATCATAACAAACATATAATACAAAATCTTAGCAATTTACTGACCGTACAAATTTATACGAATTAGCCACCAATTCGCCAAAACATAAAATAGTTCCAAACTGCCATGAGACTGTGTTGTTTAGACTGGATCTGACTTGTGAAAATGTAATAAACAATTATTTTTAATTATCCAGTGAGCTAAAACCTGATAGACAATGCAGCTTAACTTTGAACATTGTAACCACCCACTCGGTCAGACATGAGCTGAACTGAAGAGGCCCGCAGTTTTGATGCATGCCAGATGTTCATGTTTAATGCTGGGGGGTAAAACACAGTTTTGCTTTTTCTTGGGTTAATTAGCATGTCAACAGAAACAGGGCCTGAGTCAGCCTATCGTTTCATCCGATCGTCAAAATCAATTGCTAAAGTCAGTACTGATGAAAATGACAGCTTTGGTACATATCATAAATGTCATAAGCAATTAACAAATCAAAACATTGACTGAGACAACTACTGAAAACAGCTAAACAAAAGTACTAAAAAGAACACTGAAGCCTATGGAATTAGAGAGGATACCTATTAATACTAAAATTACCAAAAGTAATCGCAGTTTGTTGAAATGTCAAGCAGATTTGTCTAAAGTCATTGTGAATTATCAATTAATAAATACTTTGGAAAAGTTTCACTTATGACAAAAATTGCATTGTTCAGAACATATATATTTAAATTATTTTGAGGCTCAGTCAAATACCAAAGTAATACTTATGGGGTATTTCAACAGAAGGATTTTATAATTTCTATGCTTATTTAAATTTAAACTCGTTTTTTTTGTTATTATTTGTTTAAAAGAAAACAAAATCACATTATGAACAAATATATCTTTTACCTCAGTTATATCACCAGATGATTTTCTCGCAGACATCCTGGCACCCAGTTTATTGGGTGAGGGGACTGTGACGATTTGTTAATCTAATGAATAACTGATTTGTTAAATCAAATGAAAAATTGTGTGTTTGATTGGTCCAGACGCTACATTTGGTTTTGGCTTTGTTCAACAAATGCCTTTTCCTCTGACTGATGCAAACAAGATATTCAGCTCCGAGCTTCTGGTCTGTGCTCTTTATAACTAAAAGATTATAATATCAATGACAAATCACTATCATACAGAGAAACACGCCTTTGCCATTGATAGTTAAACATAATGACTGTAGCAGTGGATGTCTGGTCGGTGCTCTGACTGGTCTGCAGTGGAGATGTTCAAAGGCAGTAGGCAGTGGGAGACACACAGACTGACAGTAAACTTTTAAAGCAGGAAGATCAGCTCCTGTCAGAGGACCTCTAAACAAAGAAGAGTGTAATTACAAAACGTCCTAAGCCCCCCTCCTTTCACAGGCCTGTCCCCCACACACAAGCACACCCACCACCCTATCCTTCAGACTGACCATGACTGTGCAATGTGTCAAAATACAGCTCATTAAAAAAATGTCTTAATTCATTTTTTTCACAATAGTGCAGCATTACAGTACATGCAGGAAATTGCTAAAAAATTGATATGATTACTTACATTCTATTGCTTTGAAATTAAGAAAATTGCAATGCTTGTTCTGTAATGGTGGGGACTTGATATCGACTTCTGTAGTTTTAATACTGAGCTAATGATATTTTCTATCTTCAAGCCACACATCTAATTTTTAATGCTAAAATATGTTGTTGTCCCCTGATCACTTTGAACAATTTTTGGAATTCCAACCTGGGACAACGCCTTTACAACAGATCGTGTAGTAAGTAAACTTATAGTGAATACCACATGATGTTTACAAGGAAAAGTGTGATAACTAAACATTTAGGAATAAAGAAAAACTTTAACAAGAAAGAAAAAGAAAGCTGACAATACTGCAAATTTTTTTTTTACAAAGGTTCTAACTCGAATTCTGAATCAGATCATTAGAGTGAGAGAGTAAATGAGAGTAGGCCTAATCAGAGTTAAGCAGTGGATATTTCCTTTAAATTTAACTTAAAATTAAATGGGACATTCAAAACCTAATCTAGAGTTCAAAACCGGCCTAAAATTCGATGTAGGAGCTGAATTAAACCTACCAATGCATCTATATACAGTAATTCATCCCATCCAAAGGACGGCGCATGTAAAATCAAACATCGAGCGTGTGCACGACTGCACGTCGTGTAGTACGCTGCTTCTGCACATGCGCAAACATGCCACATGGTTAGCAGCAAGTTCCAGGATTTTCAAGATGGGTGCTAGTTAACAAGACATGTGGGAGAAATAACAATAATAAAGTGGTTTGGTGTGGGGATTTCAACAGTGTGTGACACTTAAAGGGATAGTTCACCCAAAAATGAAAATTCTGTCATTTATTCACCCTCAAGTTGTTCTAAATCTGTATTGAGTTTCTTTCTTCTGTTGAACACAAAATAACAAAACAGTTGACTAGTCAATGACTTTCATAGCTGGAATGGTTACCAACATTCATTAAAATATATTTTTGTGTTCAACAGAGGAAAGAAACGCATACAGGTTTGGAACAAGTGGAGAGTGTGTAAATAATAACATAATTTTATTTATGTGCGGGCTATCCCTTTAAAGGCGATTTGAAATGAAAAATAACCCTGTCAGTTTTCTGAATGCATGTCTTCTTTTTTTTTTGCATAATTTTTACAAATTTTTTGACCTTACAATTTTTAATCAATGTCATAACTCAATCTTCTCTCTGATGACATTTGTTCTTCACTTAAAGGATTAGTACACTTCCAGAATAAAACGTTCCTGATCATTTTCTCACCCCCATGTCATCCAAGATGTTCATGCCTTTCTTTCTTCAATCAAAAAGAAATTAAGGTTTTTGAGGAAAACATTGCAGGATTTTTCTCCATATTGTGGACTTCAATGGAACCCAACGGGCTGAAGGTCCAAATTTCAGTTTCAGTACAGCTCTACACGATCCCAGCCGAGGAATAAGGGTCTTATTTAGCGAAAAAAAATTCTTAAAAATGTATATACTTTTTAACCACAAATGCTTGTCTTGCACTAGCTCTGCGATGTGCATGCGTGACTTCACGCATTACGCAATCACGTTGTAAACGTCACGGGCAGTTAGCTCTTCGTCTGTGTACTCTGGTTCAAAAAGTTAGGCTAGGGCATTTTTATCACTTCTTGCTTTCCCTGGGAATCAAACCCTTGACCTTGGCATTTGCTAGTGCATGCTTAACAGTTTGAGAATTTTATTGTGTACAAACGATTAGATAAGAGCTGATGGCCACCATGTTCCAGAACATGTTCCCCTCGATCAACGTACACAAGGTAATCCACTCACTCAGAACTGCAAAAAGTTTCTCCGCATGTGGTGCAAGTATAGTCTTCTGAGATCTGTGATGTGTGTCTGATGTTGTTGTCCTCTTGGTGGTGAGAAGATATGAAGGTTCATGCATGTTTTGATCATTAAACTCTCGTTTCTCAGCTCAACCTCAACAGCATAAAGAGATGTGTGCTGTTAAATTATGATCCCGTGTCCCAGGAGGTGGAGTTTCGTCATTAGTAAGTAGCTTCGTTTTGTTTTCTTGTCATCAAATTAAAGGTGCACATGATGCAACTTTTAAACATGACTTTCCTGTGATTGTTTTCAAAGTAAACGCACTGATGCATCCTCAAACGAATGCTCTCTTGTGAGGTTTCTTTCAATATCCGCTAACCCTCTCCATGTCTTCCTGCAGCAGCCTGAAGGTGGTGCCCGTGGGCATGAGTCGAGGGGTGAAGAAGCTCATGCAGGAGAAGTTTCCCAACATGAGCAAGCTGGAGGACATCAGTGAGCTCCTCATGAAGTTAGTCTTCCACAAGCTCATTCACATCATTTGATGCATATGATGAAATGTGTTAAAATTGATGGAACAGTGATGTTTCAAAGTAAACGCTCTGATGCACCAGCTTCATACTTCTGTTTGGGATATACATAAGTGATTTTACAAGTCACACTTTGCACTTTTTACAGAGGTGTCAACCTTTCAGAGAGCGAGGCAGAGCAGGACGGGGACCACAACATCACAGAGTTGCCACAGGTGTACTCGGGTCGTGGAAACATGGCCTCGCAGCAGAGCGCAGTTCGGCTGACTGAGGTGAGGAAACCCATCATGCTGGGCTGTTGAATGCGCCTATGATGCCTTAAAATTCAGCATGAATCGGACACTTAACGGTTTGTGTCTACTGAAAAATGATGGGAGTCTGTTCTGCTACAGATTGGCCCCAGAATGACTCTGCAGCTGGTGAAGATAGTAGAAGGCATGGGGGAAGGAAAAGTGCTTTATCATTCCTTCGGTAAGTATAGCTTTGTGTAAGAGAACATTTAGACACACAACCTAGTGATTATTGAGCGTATCACTACGCTTAATCCAAAATGTGCTCTGTCTGCAGTCTCGAAAACAGGGGAAGAGCTTCAGGAGATGCTGAACAGGAAGGAGGCCCGTCTGAAAGAGAAAGAAGAACGGAAGAGAAAGCAAGAACAGAACATTGCCCTAAAAAAAGAAAAACGAGATCAGAACAAGTGAGTAGATCTGCTGCTCTAGTGGTGATGAAGAGCTGAATGTGATACAGGCTATTGGTTAGAAAAAGCACACACAAATGACACGCGTTAGGCGTGGAGACTCTGAATTTCCATAGAAGTAAATATTACAGCATTTGGTTATAGTGTTTTGAGATGGGTATTCTGTATTTTTGCTAAATGATTGCTGGCCATCACTTCAAAACAATCTCCTCCAATAAAAAGCTTTAAAACATCGCATGCTAAATAAATTGTACATTTTATTTATTTTTTGAGTTTTTTTTTTTTTTTGCAAATTAAAAAAACAAAACAAAAAGAATACCATAGCAACACACTCAGCATCTTTTTCAATGTAAGTTGTGTTGTGTTTGGTCCTAAAACTACTTAATTTCTTAAAGGAAAAGAAGCTTGGATGGCATCAATAGAAAGCGGCAGCAGGAAGGGCAGGTATCAGATGATGAAGTGGAGGATCCTGGGAAACCGGAGGACCAGGCTCCAGCCGAGGAGTCTGAGGACGAAGCAGAGTATTACAGACAGGCTGTGGGGGAGGAACCAGACGAAGGTATTGTGTCATACCAAATAATTTGTGAAGTTTTACCGTTGCAATTTGCACTGGTTCTAATTTGTTCTTTAACTCCATAGACATGTTTCCTGGTGCAAAAAGGAAGCGTGGTCTTGGAAAGTCCCCAAAACCCTTTAAAAAGAGGAAGCTGTCACCGGGGAAGGGCCCTCCTCATGTCAAAAAGAGTTTTAAGTCGCCTGACAGGGGAAATAAATATGGCGGAAAACGGTTTGGGGATAGAAAACCGCTAGAGGGGAGAAACAGGTTTAGGAAGAGCGAAGGAGGCAAAAAGTTTGGCCAAAAAGGGGGAAAAGGCTGTAGATTTGCAGGGCAGAAAAAGGAGATGCTGGTAAGAAGTTTGGTGGACAGAAATCATTTAAAGGACGTGCTGTTACGAAACAACAGAAAGGTGCTAGAGGAAAAAAGGACTTGAAACACAACAAAGGGAAAATCTGAAAGAACTGAAAGCGAGGTTGGACACATCTAAACCACAAGATGGAACTGTTGCTTCACTGATGCATCATGTATTAAATGACTGATGTATCATCACGACACAAAAACATCAGCAAATCAATGCTGCTTTATGTCAGACTTGTGGCTTGTATAAATGTTCATAGATTTGGATACATTTTACCAATAAATCCTTTTAAACCATCAAGCAGCTTTTGTTTTCAATCATCTAGATGCTTTAAATGTCACGTGTGCTTGCCTGTGTGATTTCACTCATCGGTCTGGTTTTCGAAAAAGTGCACTCCTTGCATGAGACAGGAAGTTTGGTACTGTTTCACGGGTGACTGTCGGAGTCAAGCGTACTTGGTAAGTTTCATCAACTTGTTTGATTTTTATTTGGCACTTTTTAAAAATCTATGAGAGTGAGAGGTTAGAAACTATCCCATACAATTTTTAAAAACAAAACCATGGTTTGTTTTTGTTGTGGTCCTCATGTAGAAAAAATAATGCTGGGTTCAGGTATGTCAAGGTGTTTTAACAGTATTAAATATATCCTTTGAGTAAAATGTACTGTAATTGATATTTAACTCTATTTGGTGTGGATTTATTGGGTTGAATACATTAAGGTATTTGTACTTGGATCTTATTTGGTTTGATGCGAGCCTCAACCGGTAGCCAGTGCAAGGAGATAAAGAGAGAGATAAAGAGAAAATATTAGTGTTTTGTTGTTGTTTTTATAATTATAAACTAGTTGTGAGTGCTTAGTGCTTATGTTTACAAATGTGATGACAGATTGTTTTTAAAGGGGTCATATGATGCTGCTAAAAAGAACATTATTTTGTGTATTT